GACATTGCAGCGTTCGTAAAATGTTTGTCACTGGTGCCAGGCGCCCCCCCCCCCTAGTATAAAATGTGGGTGGGCCAATGGCTCCCTGCCCCCGCCCCCAGCTTCCGCCGCCGTTGGCAGTCGTACCACCGTCGTACGACGCATTGAGTTCCCGGATTTAGACACTCACCTTTGATTCCTTGAACACCCGGAGAACCTTGTTCTCCCTTTTCACCAAGTTCACCTTGAAATTAATAGATTTGTTAATTGAATGTCATTAACGAACGTTTGCTTGCGTTTTCAGTGATAATGACGTCATATTTATATTAACTTTTGTTTAATCGTTATAATTTTACAATAAGTACCAGTTGTCAAGATGTGTTAATCAAATTAAACAACTGACCAATCAGAACAAAGCACGGTATACGCACTTGTTTCACAAACACAAGTTGTTACATTCGATACGCTGTCATTTTATTGGACCTCAGCAACAATATTCAAGGGGTGAGGCATAGGAGAGATATATTCTGTCTCTTATACACATCTAGATGTGTATAAGAGACAGGTTTCCCTTAGCGCCAATGGCACCATTGACACCCCGGCTTCCCTGGGACCCCTTGGCTCCTTTAGCACCAGTGATACCTGGTGATCCAGTATCTCCTTTACTCCCTCGAGACCCCATGTCACCCTTTTGTCCGACAGGACCGCGAGGTCCAAGATGTCCTTTTTCGCCAATGCTACCTGCCGAAGTAATATTCTCATTTTAATAATTTAAGAAAATGTCAAATGAATGATAAGCACCAAAAATATACAGTAATATATAAACTTTTTGTATATTTAAATAATGTGAAACAAATGACAATAACTACGACGGCGACGATGGGCAATGACGATGATTACGACGATGACGTTAATGACACAACGAATACGTGATGATAATAAGTAATATAAAAATAACAAGAATAACCAAATTTACAAGAATAACAGAAACAATAACAAAAATGCTATTAATAATAATATTGCAAATTTAATTTGCGCACATAAAAATGATAGTATATGAAGGCTATTAACTGCAGGAGTAGAGTCTTATTAATGATGGCCTATATAAACAAAACAATAATTGCAAAAAATGGACAAACATGGAGGAACATTTTATAGCAATTATTTATTCGATATTGAATGATATTTAACTAACAATCTTGATATATCCCGCTTAATGTACGTGCCTGTATTAGACACTTAATCACAATTTTCAGTTATAGTAATGATGTGCATATAAATATAGTCATGATGTGCCCATATATAGTCTAGATTGTGCATATATGATCATGATGTGATGTTACCATAGCCATGTTTAGGCATCCCACAAGTTTTTGTAAAATACAATTTGACAGTCTGGGCTTAACATACGACTCACCCTTTTCGCCTTTCAGTCCTCTATTACCTGGAGGGCCTTGAACGCCTGTCAAAGGTAAACATACATGTGTAAAGTAAATGTAGGCCTTAAATTGTGTATGGTTGTTGTTGAAATCATCAAGGAGGTGTTCTCAATTATAGCAGGGAACATATCATTGTTCCCTGATTATAGTGACGATCGAAATAGATTCTACACATAATATGTTTCACTTAACACGTGTACCTATAGGTGTTTATTTAAAGTATTTAACAACTTATATTTATTTTAGAATTGGCATAGTTAGTAATTGTGTTAGTACATGATTATATCTATTATAGGCTTTATACTTGTCCAGCTCAAAATTAGTGCGACTCCTCGGGATTTTTTTATTTTGTGGTGTAAGCGGTCCGCCAACTATCTTTGGCTAGAAAACATCTTGATTTTACAGTCCGTCAGCGATCATGTATAAAAAATAATATTAAAACTGAACATAAAGCGGTATAAAGACAGTGATTGAAGGTTATTGGAAGCACGCTGGAAACATCGAAATTTGGTTGCGGCTCTCTCAGTGTTAAATCCAAAATTTTGTTTTTAAATGTTGCTCCAATGATGCATTATAATTATGAAAATAATTACTATTATTTTATTATCATTATTATTTTATTATATAATAATTTGATTCATATCAAGGATTTTTATTTATATTAGTTTTATTACATTCCTTATTAATGGTATTTTATGTATATATAATTCAACTTCTAATATCTAGATTGCATTTATTAATAGTCCATGTACTTTCAGAGTTGTCATTGATTTTGCAAAAAAAAAAAAACAAAATCAAAAACAAAAAACAATTAAATAAATTAAAATAAATAATAATTTGCCTATCCAAATAACGCTATTTTGATTGCCAATCCCTAATTTAGTGGTCTAAAAGCACATTTTAGGACCAAATTAAGCCATAAAAACTTGCCCCATGAACCCCCTAACAATATTTTGTTTAATTCCAGCCGTCGACCAAGGCTTCGTCGTCGCCTTGGTTCGGACCCCTCCGTTGGACACGTCGGACCCCTTGTTGGCAAATTTCTGGGGCCATCGCTGCCTCTGACCCAATTTTATACCCATCCTGTCCTAAAACCTCTCCACTAGGTGAATCAGCGTCGGTTGGCTTCCTGAGATCTGGTTGGTTGCGCATTTTGGTTGCGCATTTTCTTCGCTTATCAACAACTCCGATATAAATGTGAACGCGAATGCGCATAAGCCGACGTTTTCGATTCGCGCGAATAAATTGAATTCGCCTAGTGGAAAACAGGCTTAAGGCGATTCTATGGAGAACGTCACGCCACGACGTGTGCCCATCGAATCGTTTTTAATGACGATGCGTTCAGACTGCCACCGACATCAGCAGACGGCGTGGCGTCGTCTATCGCTCACACATATGAGCAGTCGTCAACGGCGGCGGAACGTTTTTGAACGTGGGGGGGGGGGTATTTAATAAGGTTGAGTATGCGAGCGAAGCGAGCATCTAGGCTGGGGGCAAGAGGGCCGCCAAGGGTCCCCGGTGGTGGTCCTGGGGGGCGCAGCCTCCAGGAAGCTACGGATATTTTACGAAGTTTGGTGAATTTTATAAGTTATTTTATAGGCATTAAGCTACTGTAATATGATTTCATATTTGTTGTAATTTCCAGTGGCGGATCCAGGAATTCGAAATAGAAGGGCCCAGAGAGGACAGATAGAAGATCAAAAATTTGTGATTATGGCACCTCTAGATGGCCGGAAATTGCACTTCCAGACATAAAATTTGAATATAATTATCTTTATATCTCCATTTTTTTATTGAACAATTTAGGAGGGCGAGGGCGGGTCGTCTGGGTCCCCTTGAATCCGCCACTGGGTACTTTCAGCAGATGGAGAATCTATACCACATCAGCCCCACCATGGTTGGGCTGAGGCAAGAACATTTGTGATTATGGCACCTCTAGATGGCTGGAAATTACACTCTTAGACTTAAAATTTGAATATAATTTTCCTTATAATCTCCATTAAAAAAAAAGAACAATTTAGCCTCCTTTTCCCCCGATGGATAAAAATTACCCTTCTATTTAAGCTAAGCTCGGAAATCAGTTACACTTTAAACTATACATCTCGTTAGAAAATGAAAACAAAAATCTATATTTTATAATGATAATAATAGGTCAACTTATAAGACACAAAAAAACAAGGTGTATAAAGCACCAAATAATAATAATAATAATAATAATAATAATAATAAATAAACAATAACAATAATAATAAATAATCCTAATGACATTGCAGCGTTCGTAAAATGTTTGTCACTGGTGCCAGGCGCCCCCCCCCCCTAGTATAAAATGTGGGTGGGCCAATGGCTCCCTGCCCCCGCCCCCAGCTTCCGCCGCCGTTGGCAGTCGTACCACCGTCGTACGACGCATTGAGTTCCCGGATTTAGACACTCACCTTTGATTCCTTGAACACCCGGAGAACCTTGTTCTCCCTTTTCACCAAGTTCACCTTGAAATTAATAGATTTGTTAATTGAATGTCATTAACGAACGTTTGCTTGCGTTTTCAGTGATAATGACGTCATAGTTATATTAACTTTTGTTTAATCGTTATAATTTTACAATAAGTACCAGTTGTCAAGATGTGTTAATCAAATTAAACAACTGACCAATCAGAACAAAGCACGGTATACGCACTTGTTTCACAAACACAAGTTGTTACATTCGATACGCTGTCATTTTATTGGACCTCAGCAACAATATTCAAGGGGTGAGGCATAGGAGAGATATATTTTTTTTCTTTTCACAGTACAATATAATTTATAAACAGTAATGCACATCTGAAAGATTAGCGCAGATAATGTAGTTACCTGACAATCCCATAATTCCCCGGCTACCTGTAAGGAGAATAAACATCATAGGGTTGTGTATATGAACAGCGCGATTAATATACTGTATTAAAAATTTCGGTCACATAAAAATAATAGTAATGTATATTAGAAATATTAATAGGCCTACAAATGAAAATGATAATGGTACAGTAATATTACAGTAATAATAATAATTATAATAATAATGATAATGATGATAATGATGTTGATGATAATAATAATAATAATAAAAGTAATAACAATAATATTCGGGATATTTCGCAAACGATAATGAATACGGTTACCTAATTATTATTAAGCAGTTTTCACCGCACGACCTTAACCTTAACTTTAACGTTAGTTCCCAACATGCAGCGCGATAGCTCCGTCCATTTTTGTAAAGAAATCGAAATACGCATGCGCACCCGTAACTAACGTACGTCGAGCACGTAAAATCCTGAAATTAACGTACTCCGCAACGCAAGATGAATAAATTATGACGTCAACGTCATCCGTTAAAGTTAAGGTTAACGTCGTGCATCGAAAACTCCCTATTAACTACAATAATACACTAATATATGTTTAACAGCAGGATTTTCAAATTATAGTATGAACTTTACACACCTTCGTGTATATCGGAAAAATTATAGATTACCTTTTTCCCCCTTGCTTCCTGGAAATCCATGTTCACCGTTTAATCCGGTTATACCTGGTACACCTATAAGGTGAATATAATTATTATTTCATTTTGAGTTCCTATCTTATGTAGACGAGCTTTCACATAATTTAATTCACAAGAGATGATGCCATACTTGTACATTATTCATCATCATCTCCATCCCATCTTCATACTTACAATCTTCAAAATCATTGTCATTATCATCAATATTTAAATCATTATATATAGTAATTTTTTATTGTTATTGTCATCATTATCATCAACACCACTATTTCGAAATCAGCATCATATTTTCCAATTACAATCACCATCACGAACAAATCGATGTGTCGTATACTAATGTTTAACCTTTCGTCATTCGTCTTCCTCTTCCTCGTTACTATCATTATCATCTTATCGATGTTCTAATCCCCATCAACAGTATTTTCCCTCACCTGGAACTGCTGGGACTGGTTTGTATCCTTTCTCGCCTTTCAAACCTGGCAGACCCCGAGGACCTGAAACAC